GTGTTTAAATGTTCAGCCAGCAGACGCCGAGCATACTCACTGACCCTCCGGTGGCCAGGCAGGAGCAGCAGATCGGGACGCCTCGCCAAAACATCCTCGATCTGCTGGCAGAGGACTCGTTTTGCCCCATAGGTGGAGGACCACCGGAGGATCATCAACGATCCAGCAATTTGAGGGCTAGTTACCTCATCCTCCCACGGTGGCAGAGACGGGACCGGTTCCTCACAGGCAGGTGAGGTTAAACCGGTCATGTGGGGTTGAGGTGGTGGCGAAAAAAAATCATCATTATTTATTTTCAAAAAATCATTCTTCAAAGAAGAAGCGACCTTATTGGAGGACCTATCCAACACCGGATCGAGATAACAGTTGAAGTCGCCTCCTATAATCATGTCCCTATTATTAAATTGTGCAATAATGTCAAATATCTTGCAGAAAAAGTCGGGACAATCACAATTTGGGGCATAAATGTTCAAAAGGGCAACAGGGACGGAATTAATTTCGCCAGTGACAAGTACATATCTTCCCCCCGGATCTGCAGACATGGAGCTAAAAATAAATGGAATTGACTTGCGGATAAGGATTGCAACCCCTCTAGCTTTGGAAGTAAAATTAGCCTGGTAAACCTGAGAAACCCATGAAGTTCTCAACCGTCTCTGCTCAGTTGGGTGAATATGAGTCTCCTGCAGAAAGACAATATCAGATGAAAGTGATTTTAAATGTGAAAACACCTTTGCTCTTTTAAGTGCCTTACCAAGGCCTCTACAGTTCCAGGAAACAAAAKTAATAGGACTCATGTCCGACTTAAAAGTACTTTTATCCTGCATTTATCACCACGTAAAAAAAGCAGCTGACAGGATAAACAAAACAAAACACAGGAAATTTAACAGCAACAAAGCAGAAACAGAAACCCATAAACTCACCCTTGCCGCAACATGAACTAAGCGGCATATCCCACAATCTTGAGTGGAGGCTGCCGGGTAACAGAGCAAAAAAAGAAAGAAAAAAGAAACCCCAAGAAGGTAATCTAAACCCAACAGGCCGTGTTTACCTCCAGAAACTGTATAAATGTAAATGTGCACCAAAGCTTAATCGAACTTGCAGACTAGCTTTAGCATAGAATGATTAACAAAGTCACTTAATATGAGTCAATGAATTGGCAAACCGCTCTGCATCAGTTGGTGAAGTGAAGGTTTTCACAGTGTCATTTAAAGACACTTGCAGCTTGGCAGGAAAGCGCAGGGAACACTTCGCTCCAGCCTCCATCAGCCTCTTCTTCACGGTGTTGAAAGCCTGGCGCTGCGCTGAGACCTCCGCTGTGTAGTCTGGAAATATGAAAACTTTCTGGCCTTGGTACATCAGCGGGGCTTGCTGCCGACTCAACCGCAGAATATTCATCACATCGCGGTCATTGTGGAGCCTGGCGATGATAATCCGTGGACGTTCATTGGGAAGTGGCTTTGGTCTCAGGGCACGGTGCGCCCTATCAATTTTTACGGGCTTGGGAAAGTTGTCCTGACCCAGCAGCTCAGAGATAAATTCTGAGACAAATCCTGCAGGGCGAACACCCTCTACACCTTCCTTGACGCCAATAATCCGAATGTTTTGTCTGCGCGAGCGCCCCTCCAAGTCGTCCACTCTTTTTTTAAGAAGGCCGTTAGCCGCCGCTAGCTCGCTGCACGATGACTCCAGGGCCAAAACACGGGCATCCGTAGAGGTTAGAGCCATGTCCATGTCATCCAAACGGTGCCGGACCTCACTGTGCTCTGTCTGCAGGGTTGTTAAACGAGCTTCAATGGAGTCCAGACGTCCTTCCAGTGATTTCTTGAGAGTATCCACGAGTGTGTAGACTTTAGAAAGATCATCTTTGTGGCTATTGACGGCGGCTAAGATAGCCTCGTTGCTAACAGCGGAGCCCGCGTGAGCTGTCGACTTCTGGGCTTCTTCTTTCCTAGGCATAATGTGAGATGCCAAAACTGAAGTAAACTGAAGAGACGGATGCCAGTTACTCCCTCGGTGATAAAATTAATATCTTTGGTGTAATAAATAAATGTTGAATGAAGGTAGTGACACGGAGCTCTGTAAAACACGTCTACTCCATTACTGCACACTAGCGCCCCCCGTTTGTATGTATTTTTAATGATTATTTTTAATCATGTCTTGGTGTAAATTTCTTTAGTGATTAATTGTTACTTTCTATTTATTTTGTCCTCAGTGAGAAGCAGCTGATGGATCACCACATGGAGTCTGGTTTAAGCGAGGAGGCGAGGCAAAGAGTAAAAGAAACACATCCAAAACTCAAAGTTCTGGCCAGAATTTGTAAAAAGTTTGTGAACAGTGTTAATAAAATCATCTTAAACTTACATTATTTGTGTGGGGAACATTTTTACATGCTGACAATTAAACGGAATATAGAGCAGAAAGGATTGAAACAATCATAACAAAATGTTCATAAATCACAATAAGTTAGTTCCAGTGTGACAGGGCCTGTAGCAAGCAGGATTGAACTTATAAAATGATTTTCTAGTCTTTTCATTCACTCAAAGGGATTTTATACTACAAGTCAACATTAACCCTCTAACACACATAATACATTTGTGCCAAGCACTAACATGCACGGTGCCAACCAGCTCACCAGGGAGACGTCAGCCCATTCACACTCTGATGCACAACATCAGGGGTAACTAAGGGCTCAGTCCCTTGCCCAAGACCACCAGCCATGTGGACAGGAGGAGAGGGGCCAGGAATTGATCCACCCTGCCTCCTGAGTCACAGCTGCCCATCTGTAAGTTTACGTCCATTCTAAAGGAAGTACAAATCAAAAACAACAGTCGTGAAATACTTTTGACAAGAAAACATTACAGTGTGTGTGAGTCCCTTATGGACCTTGTAATTTTGTAAAGTGCAACTCACTGGAAACAATGGTAATTATTCCATAGGACATATTTGAATATTTTTTGATTTACAGGTCTTTAGTTTTCGTTTAAGAGTTTTAATGAAGTACTCATGCGTTGTTATACATTTCTTAACTCTTGAAGGGATTGATTAAGGTTATTTCATGATTCATACATGATTCTGTTTTCTGTTATCTGAAATAGAAACTGTCCTTTTCAGTTACACCCTCAGTTARATATCTTGGCATGAAGCAGCTATCTATTTTTTTATTATTATGAATCTGAAACTACAGATAATTTATTCTTCAATTGTTCAGGTGAAGCTCTCTGGCAGGATGTCCATGAATGGCTTTCTTAAAATGGGTCATACAAGTCAAATTTTTGAACATTTTTATTGAATTTTCCTCCTTGTTAAGACTTTCAAATGTAGAAAAAAGAATTATTTAAATTGTAATAGAATAATATGAGCTAAAATCCACAGCCCCGTCAACAGCAAAACGTTGTGTTTTTGTTATTTCTTTACTTGTATTTGTTAGGCACCCGTTCCAAATTATCAGCTACCTTTGCTTATTAGGGCCACACAACAAGATTTTTAAATTATTATTACAAGATTAAAGTCTAATATTACGAGATTACAGTCATAATATTACAACAATAAAGTCATAATTTTACCAGAATAAAGTCATACTATTTAGAGATTGAAGTCATAACAACTTGGAGAGGTGGGGCAAGATGGCGGAGGAGTGAGATGTGTGTCGCGTGGGCTCCCGCTCCGACTGTTCTGTTTGTGATTCTCTACCGAATGTCCTTGCTGTTTTGAGCATTTGGTCTGTCCAGACTCGACCCCTGAGTGATTCTTGCCTGGAAGAGTAGAAGAATGGCGACAAACTTGAGGAAAGGCAAACATTCAAGCTCTGCGGCTGTTAGGCCCGACGCCGCCTCGGAGCAGGCTGCAGCTAAAGCCGGAGTTTTGGCGCCCTCCTCTCCCTCCCGCAGCGAGGTGGACGCACTCTCCTTGAAGTCTGACATTCTTGCCGCTATAAAAACCGATCTCTCAGCTGTGATCAAATCCGAAATAAAAGCGGCTTTGGCTGAAGAGTTTACTGTTATTAAAGGGGAGCTACAAGTGGTGAGAGCTGAAGTGGCTAACGGCACGATGCTACTTCGTGCTGACTTAGACCACCTTAAACAGAGCGTTAAAGAGGTGGAGGACGCCTGTCAACCTGGTCCGATGAGGTGGTTGCTCTGCGCACCACCGTTTTGGAACTGAAAGAAGAAGTCGATGGGCTCAAAAAGAAATATGACGATATGGAAGGGCGCATGAGAAGGTGCAATATGCGGATTATTGGAGTTCCTGAGACACCAGAATCCAGCTCCACTACAGCAGTCGCTAAACTGCTAGCAGAGGTTCTACAGATGGATAAAGAGCCATTGGTGGACCGAGCCCATCGCTCTCCAGGTGGAAACAGGTCAGGCGATAAGCCGCAGGTCATTGTTGCTAAGCTGCACTATTATCAAGAATGTGTGGAAATATTACGTCGAGCATGGACCCGCGGCCATCTTTGTTTTAAGGAAGCACCGATTAACATCACATCTGACTACACGGCAGCTGTGGCCAGAGCTCGAGCGGCGTTTACAGAGGTGAGGAGGCTCCTTCGCAACCAACGAGATGTTCGCTATGGCTTGATTTTTCCTGCACGGCTCCTCATGGGGAGGAAAACAAGGAGTTCTTGGATGCCAATAAAGCAATGGACTACGTTAAAAAGAGGATCATCTCAGCGACGGACAACGAGGACCAGCGTTGACCGCAGGTCCAACTCTCATCGAACCATTATGACTGTCAGGTTGTAATGAACCTTCTAACTTTATGTCCCGCGCTATATCTTGATTTAATTTTAGACATTACTCTCAGGGACAACATTCCTCTTTTTGTTCTATGTACGAGAGTTTCACAGAGGGTCTGTCCAGATCTTGGTAAGTGATTTATTTAACAGTGCAGCAAGGAGCATAAACAGTAATGACACTTTAAAGTGAGGGAACCCCTTTTTTATTTTTTTGTTATTGTTATTTAGATGTGGCGGGAGTCCAGGCAGGGAGTTAAGCCCCCCAGTATAAGCACAAATGTGTGGATTTTTTGTTTGTTGGGTTCTCCATGTTTTTTTTAGGAGAAAGGGTTGGGACTATACCGGATCTATTTGTTTTGAGAATGTYTTTTTCAGGTTATTTTTTATGATGGTTTGTGGATATTGTACTACAGTCCGATTGACCATACATGAACAGTTCTAATATTACCAGGTTCATCAACAGTCACCCTGTTAACTGTGTGAGTTGGAATGTGAAATCCCTCAATGGTCCAGTGAAATTTAGGAAAGTTATGACACATTTAAGACAACTTAATGCTAATATTACTTTTTTGCAGGAGACCCATTTGCATAAGGCAGACAGTGCAAATCTAAGCAGGTGCTGGTCTGGTCAGGTGTTTCAGTCTAATTTCCAATCTAAATCGAGAGGGGTGGCCATCTTAGTTAGTAAACAGGTGCAATTTATGTCATCCAGTGTTGAAATGGACGCTGCTGGATGTTATGTTATTGTGGTGGGAAAACTATATGCACTTCCTGTCATTTTAGTCTCGGTATATGCTCCAAATTGGGATGATCAAACATTTTTTAATAAGCTTTTTTCAAATTTACCTAATATTTCAACACATAATCTCATAACTGGGGGAGATGTGAACTGTGTGCTATCATCCTTCGATCATAGTACAGTGGGGAGGATCTCTCTTTCTAAATCGGCCCAGTCAATTAATTCATTTCTTAATACTTATGGAGTGGCTGACGTGTGGCGTTTTCGTAATCCGACCCTGAGACGGTATTCATTCTTTTCCCCTGTTCATGAGTTATTCACGGATTGACTACTTTCTCCTTGATAAATGGATTTTACCTTTAGTGAGTGAATGTGATTATGGAGTGATAGTCATTTCTGATCATAGTCCGCTCATAATTAAACTGAACATTCCTGTTACGCAATCGATCTATCATCCTTGGCGACTTAATCCGACACTATTATCTGATGAAGACTTAGTTGATATGCTTGCTTCTGAAATTAAGTTTTCTATTGATGTTAATCGGACTCCTGGGATGCCACTCAGCACTGTTTGGGAGTCATTAAAGGCTTACCTGAGAGGTCAAATAATCTCTTACTGTGCAAATAAAATGAAGAAAAACATTGAACGGCTAAAATCGCTAACAGATCAGATTTTACAATTAGACAGGGAATGCTGCCATGTTTTTACACAGGATGTACTTAAGAAACCTACATTACTCCAAACAGAGT